GCAAAGCAGGACTGAGTGTGTAGCAACAGGACTGAGTGGGCACCAAGGTGCTTTGACAAAACAGGACTGAGTGTGCAGCAGGGTGCTTCAGCAAAAGAGGACTGAGTATGCTGAGATGGATTTTTCCTTAGGGGTGTTTTGGACCTTAAAGCAGGAGCTTAAGGGAAATTTGAACCATATTAGCCCATAGGTCTGCATAAATGATTACATTTGTAGACATCGTGGTGCCTTGATGTCAACAAGGGTTGCGCAATGAGTTTTGACATGCATGCAATCCAGAGATGTATAGAAATTCTGGTTACTTGTAAATTTGGGAGAAAGAAACATGGAACCAGATGCCTGCTTTAGGTAATAGGAAAGCCCAATTACTTGTAATTCCTCGGGTAAGGAGTTTTGTCTCTGGAGGGTCTGCTTGATGGGCATCAGGTGATCTTTCCTCTCCTTAGTGTCCACAAAGCTGTCAGCTCCCAATGCCTTCTTTTGGTTTTAATATATATTTTTCTGTTTGTTTCCTATGATTTCTGGGTAATGTTCTTTGGGTTTGTGGTATTCAATTCTTAGTTTTGACAATTTTTTTTTCTTTTTAAATTTACTTACCTGTTTTTGTTCATTTCCATGGGTTGGGGGGTTGTAAAAGTAAGGCATGTATGCCATCATCTTTCCAGAAATCTGTCAATATATGATTTTTACTTCAACCTTCTATGGGATTTCATAAGAGAAAAAATGTACATAATCATATGTAAATAAAAGTAAAAGGATTTCATTAAAATTATTAATAATTATCAATATGCTATGGTTAAATGTATATATGTGTGTATAAATACACACAAACACATCTATATCTCCACTCCCAACAACTTTTCTGAGCTTCAGACCACAGTTGCAACTGAATATCTGCATGAGACCATCAAACTTAGTACTATCTTCATCAACACTTAACCTAGATTTTTTAAATGGAACTCACAGGGCCAAGCGCCATGGCTCACGCCTGTAATCCCAGCACCTGGGAGGCCAAGGCAGGCAGATCACTTGAGGTCAGGAGTTTAAGACCAGCCTAGCCAACATGGTGAAACCCCATCTCTACTACAAATACAAAAATTAACTAGGTGTGGTGGCAGGTGCCTGTAATCCCAGCTACTCAGGAGACTGAGGCAGGGGAATTGCTTGAAATAGGAAGGCGGCAGTTACAGTGAGCCGAGATTGCACCACTGCACTCCAGCCTGGGCAA